AGCCCTAAACCCTGAATCCTAAACCCTAGACCCTAAACCCCAAAGCCTGAAAGCCCTAAAGCCCTAAACCCTAAAGCCCTAAAGCCCTAAACCCTAAAACCTCTAAGCCCTAAACCCTAAAGCCCTCAACCCTAAAGCCCTAAACCCCTAAAGCCCTAAACCCCGAAACAAGCAGCGTCTCCTGTGATCCGAAGCGCATCCGCGGCCATAGGCTCCGCATGCCGGACACCCGAAGCCCAGCCGCCTGGGCTCTTGCGTTGAGCGTTGGGACCTCAAAGGGATCCTCAAAGGGTTCCTTAAAAGGGCTCCGTAAAGGGGTCCTTTAAGGGTTCCTTACAGGGGTCCTTAAAGGGCTCCTTAAAAGGTTCCTTACAGGATCTAGGGTTCAGGGCTTGAGGTTGCTAGGGCTGTGGAATTAGAATAGGGCTTAGCAGCTTCACTTGCCGGCTCGCACCTGCAACGCTGTCTGAGTTCCTGGCGCGAGCTCGCTACAGATGTCTTCGAGAGTGCTGGCGCCACCTTGCTGAAGCTACGGGAAGACGTGGCGTGGTTGGAGTTAAGTTTCGGGGCAGAGTCTTTGGAGGTCTAGGCTAGGAAGCCTTCCGTTTCTCTCGTGCGGCACGGTTCGCAGTATCTGGCAGCCGCTCGAGCGTGCAGCAAAATCTTCAGGCTCCTAGACAGATCAAGCCAAGACCGAGACTGATACCCCAAAACCCTGCAAAGTTGCTGAGTATGAGTTCAGTATCAGAAACGGTTGATGATATAAATCCTTTATTACCTTAAGGACCCTAAACTATGGGAATTATGGTATATTCCCTATTATGGGTAATGAAGGGTTTACAGCATCAACAGAAGTATGGGTCAAATCCAAGATCCGAAGCTCCAAAAAGCTTGGGCAAAGGATTCCTCCCAGATCCGCCGGGCCGAGAAGCTTTCGCACCGCTCTTGTACACTTGAACACAAAACATCCGAAACAACGCGCCAGGCTCCTTAAGGACGAAATGAACCCAAACGGGTTTATGGTTCAAGTTCATATACCATATAGGGATTCATAGTCTATGGGTGTAGGGCCCCTACTTTTAAGGGTCATTTGGTCCTTCAGGTTCTGGAAGGGTGCAGCTCAAACCAGATATTCTATTGGAAGGCCACAGGTCGGGAAAAGGCTTCGAGGTGCATGTTCGTTTGCGTCCCTAAACCCTAAACCCTAAACCCTGCACAGGAACCATGAGGCGATGAGAGTACTAATCATTCGGATCTTCATGCTACTAAGCCCCCAATCCTTGAGGCTATAAGGGCTCGTATTTACAGGCGTTGTCGTTATCAAACATACTGTACCCGGTAGTCCCTTGAGCCCAAGCGTAGACAAACAGAAGGTACCAGTATCTCAACCTTTCACTGCCCAACAGCCCGAACCCTTAAACCCTTAAACCGAACCCCCGGCAAGCCTCCTTCAAGGCGCAAGCGCCCAAGCTTCTTGGAAGCTCCTCCAGCGGCAATTCGGCAGCACCCGCGCGTCAAACCGCAACCCCAAATCATGAAGCTTATAATCCTAAACCTCAATTTCTGAAACCCTAAGCCCCAAAAACCTATAGTCTGAAACCTAAACCCTATGCCTCCAGGGACCTGTTTATCGGGTCCTTAAGGGGTCTAGGGCCCTAACTGTGAGGTCCTTGGAGGGATAGGGTAAATGAACCCCAAAGCCTTAAGCTCAAACCGACATAATGAACCTAAAGCCGGAAGACTAAACCTGGAAGGTAACGCCTTCAAGGGGCCGTTCGGCTTCACAGTGTTAAGGTTTTATCTCTATAATTATAATAAAGAACCCCCGAAATAGTGTTGGTAATTATTAAGGCCCCTATATCATAGTATCCTTATAGATCCCTTGCAGTAAAGCTTCTTGGGGTTTGTAGGGGGCGAAGAGCTGGAAACAACCCCTCCCGGAGATGCCTTGGCGAAGCCCACGACCTGTGCAAGAGCGAATCGCTCTTCTAAAAGTCCGGGTGTGAAAAGAGGCAAACGTTTAGAGTTTAGGGTTCATGGGGGTGTGTTAGAGTATGCGTGAAAAGGGAGAAGGGCTTAAGTATAGGGTCCATGGGTCCCTAATATAATACGGCACCAAATATTTAGGATTCCCAGAAAGGGACCCTAATTTTGACAACTACTGATGGAGGTATTTCAGAGTATAGACTGGGGACTGTACACAGGGATACCTCCTGAGCATGACACCGTGAGGCTGTAGGGCTGACAGGGAGTACCTAGGGGCGTGAATAGTTGGAATAGGGTTTTGGGGTAATCATATAATATTGTACTAGCATGACAATATTTAAGCGTCGCGGTACACTTGGGGGGGGAACGAGATAACACCTTCAATGGGTCAACCAGGCAATCCCACTTTTTCTGCGAATCGCGCTGACATGAACTAACCTCGCAGTCTGTAGCTCTTCTCCGTGCTGGCTGTAGGCATGGACACCGTATACAACGACTTATAAGTAAAAGCTGACAACACGATGATCTTCGAAACCGAACCCCTCATCGCCCGAAACCTTTGACATCAGCACAGCCCAGAAGCCAAACATGTGAGAATGCCACGAAGGGCCCAAGAGCTCACGGACTAAGCCGCCTGGCTCTAGACGCTCTACGGAACTCAACCCCTTGTCCTTTGAACGAGGGCAGGCTGGGAGGACCTTCACGAACAGCAGTCGCGAGGACGGTCCAGACTACGACTCTTGAAGAGTGCGGCAATGACCCTGCTATTGCTCATCAAGGGCAACGCTACCTCTTGAGACAGGCCACATTCCGCGAGATGAAGCTTCGCGACAAGCACGTATATCTTGGAGACTCGGCTCAACGCATAAAACGCATTCAGCCGGCTCGAAAACTAGTGAGGAAGCCTCACAGTGAGAAGTCACAAGGTGACCATCCCGTGTTGGACCCGTGCGGTGGAGCTTGCTTTGTCAAGTCCACGTCTGCAAGATCCGGGCTCCTGCTAGAATCACTACCGGCTTGATGCTTTTGTACATGCGTCTCTGGTTATGTCGGAGCTGAAACAATGCAGTAATGATGCTGGTAGTGTTCATAAACTGGCACGCTGACTTGAGACAGCCTGGAGTCTTCGGGATGTGGCTTCACCTCAATGACCCAAACAAACGCAGAATGGGAACAGGCTTATCGCATCCAGTGTGTGCGGCCGGTCCGACAAATCAGCCGCACAGCCTCGCCTCGCAGTAAGAAGTCAGAACGTCGACATCCCTAACTATATTCACCGATTGCTCGCTGCTTCATGTACTTGCATCACCGCGGGGCTGAGGCAGTACAGGTGTGACCCTGGTATTGTTCACCAAGGGCCACGCTATCTTGAGACGGCCAGCGTATTCTTCGGGAAGAAGCTTCGCAAAACACACATTGCATGTTGGGGGCTTATATAATGTAATGTAATAGTTAGAATATAGTACAGTGTGTTCAACCTGTCCGAACAATAGCGGCGAATCCTCACAGTGAGAAGTCACAAGGTGACCATGCGGTGTTGGACCCCGTTTGATGGAGCTTGCTCTATGAGGTCCGTATCACATGTTGCCAGAATCACCTACATATATGGGACCTGTCGATAGCTGCGTCTTGCATTTGTGACATTTGCTACGTCGGAGGCGCTTTAGTTTTGACCTTTTTGTTTCTACGCGTTTCGTACGGGTCTTCACGAGGGTTTCACCACTTTTCCTACTTCGACTGACTGCAGTGCCCGCAGAAATCTTCGGATTTGATTTGTTCGCTGGCCTGTCGGAACTTCGCGGTTTCCAGTGTAGTTTTTCCTGCCGCAAGTTTACGCGATCGAACTCGTTGCTTTCAGAGCTTGGGGGACAGGGTGTCAGGAGGGTTGGGTCGAACGGCTTCGACTTCTGCCGGAGTAAACGCCTTCAGATCGCTGGGCGGCAGACTGAAATCCAAAACACAATGGGTTTGTGCTCCACATGTACGCGCAGCATGCGGGCAGAATCATGCTGAATGACCATGACAAGGAACAGACCATTTTCATGACTTGATGATAGGCGTGAGGTGAGGATCATGCTCAAGCAATTGGGCCAACCATAGCTACATAGACACGAAGCTATCCTTGCCGTCATTCTGAACCCGGTTATGGCACATGGAAGGGTCCAACCACACCGTGCTTGAAGTCCGTACTTTCTCGCTCTGACATGGTCCTGGGACTAGCAGCTAGATGCAAGCTCATCCGGAGGTTTGCCAGCCACACTGGCAGCGGAGCTCTCGCCCACCTCCTTTCCGATCGAATCCAACATCTGTGCTGTTTGTCCGGCCTGAAATCGGAGGGCCAACCATGATATTCCAAAAAGCACCGCTGAACCTGTTGTGACTCACTCAGAAACGATGACTTACAGACATAGCCTCTTGGGTTTGTGTTCTACTAGAAATTAGGCACTGCTTCCCAAGATACTATAGGGGCCTGAATAAGTGGAATAGGGTTTTGGGGTACTATAGTCATAACAAGGAACCCCTAAAACAATATAGGCGATTATCAAGGTCTCTATCCCTGGGGATCAAAATAGCCCCAAAGCCTTATATAGTATGGTCTTTGGGCCCAAAAGCCTCAATATATGAGTCCTTAGAGCCCTATAGGGTATACTGTATGCTACACCCAGGAACCGCCCATCCATAGAGATGCCGAAAACACATCCGCCATGAGCCACGCAGTCCAATTGCCAAGGAAAGATAGCCTTGGCTTCCCCTGTAGCCTTAACGATAAGGGTCCGAGTATCATTATGGTATATACTTATAGGGTATTTTGGGGTTCTAAGTATATACCATAATGATACTTGGACCCGTTGGGTTAACGATACCCTGTAGCCTATGCCTCCAGGGACCTTATTATGCAGTCCTTAAGGGGTCTAGGGCCCTAACTATGAGGTGCTTGGAGGGATTGGGGTAATTAGCCTTAACGATAACGGCACCCTTGTCCCACGAGTTGAATAATTACGGAAATCGGGAGCTTAAACGACAAAGAGCACAAGGAGTACTCCTGGCGAACCTAGTAGCAAGGTCACCACAAGGGCCACCCCAACGCTTTTCAGCCTGTCCTGCCACACACTGCTCTGCTCTCTGCGAAAATGTCTCGCTAAAATCAATGCCACCTGAAAGACGAGGGGAATCAGAAGGAAACACCAAGTCAGGCTGGCCAAGCACAACATTCCAGCCACTTTCCAGTTTCCGCCCCGCCCACGTGCCGCGATGAGATCTGCGAATCCCCAGAAAAGAGGCAAGGCACCAATGACTTGCCATCGATACGGGAACAACAATCCACCCAACTGACGGTATAACATGTGCCTGACATGCGTTCTTACAGTAGCCTCGAAGGCCTCAACAGATCCATACCAGATGCGAATGCATCGCGCGATGACCGCACGATCGCAGACTTCGGCAGTACACGATTCTTCGTCAATGCAGCAGTGACAGTGCGCACCTTGAACAGTAAAGTCGGCGAGCTGCTTGAGCATAATCTCTGTGTTCCGGTAGTGCTCACGCAAGTAGGAGGCTGCCAGGTAGAAGCAGAACCACCGTGACAGCACGAGTGCCAGCGTTTCGAAAGCAGTGTGCTCTTCCACCAAGATCCAGTGTAGCATAGAAGCCCATAGGGCAATCCCAAAACCCAAAATGCAAGGGGCCATGGCCGTCAGCCTGACAGTAACTTTCTCACGTGGCCTTTCATGACTTGTGAGGAAGGCAGCCAGCTCTAGTAGGCACCATAATCTCCCGGCATACGTGCCTTAGTTGCTGAGTTCATAAGCCCCCAAAAATGTACACTTTCAGCTTTATAGTGGGTATAATGTTATCCCAAAGAGTGTAAAGTGTATCCACTCAGCTACTAAGGTGCTGTCCCAAACGAGGAGAAACTGCTCGGAGTATTTCAAGAAGGCGCCAATGCTCAGGATTCCATTGCCTTTCAGCTCTGTATCCGTCTGATGGATGCCTAGGTTGCCCCGCTGAAGCCGCTCAGAAATATTCGTAATTACATAGGACCCGCTTAAGCCCGACAAGAGGAAACAAACAAAAAGCTGCTAAAGGCCTACCTAGATACATACTTGGTCAAGGAAGACTCGGCTAGTGGATCTCCATAGGAGAAGGACGGCTGCGAAAACGAACCCTGCCGTGAGCATACACCAGGGGGCAAATACCAACTCCACTCCGTGATCGAATAATAATATGCTAGCTCGCGGGAAACCTGGTAGTAATCCTGCGATGTGCAAACACATCATCAGCAAAGCTGAGATGGTGGCGGCGATGGCTGCAGCAGGCCCATTGTACAGTAAAATCAACAGGAGCCTCTTCATGTAGTTGTTCCCATGCCAGCTGTGGCTCCAGAAAACTTGGATCGAACTCACAGGAAAGCTCCGTTCATACAGATCCGTGTTGGTCCATCTCAATGCCGCACCGAAGGATTGCAGCACTCGCCAGGCGGAAGTTGCTCTGAGGATGCTAGGATCGATAGGCTCCATCTTGGCCACCAGGCTGGCAAAGTGGGCCACCGTAGGGTCTTCCGCGTCGCTGAGCCCAACTTCCCCGGTAGATTCCATGGGCTCTTGGGAGGTGGCCATAAGACGTGTGCTGCAGCGTCAAAGTTCCTGAAAAGCCCCTTTACCCTAGTTTTTTTATTACTCAGGATTAATAAGGGGACCCTAAAACAAAAAGGGCAAAAGGGTCCTCTCTGCAACTGGTCCGGCCTATATGCTTCTACAAGCCTATACACGCAAAGGCCTCCTAATTTGTGGATTGGCGCAAATATCTAAGGTCCGTCTGTGCTGCAGGTATCCTTGATGTCCTGCATGTTGCGAAGGAGACATTTCAGAGCAAGCTTTGGTCTCGAGCACAATGGTCACACGATCCAAAATCGAAACCCTGAGTCCGGATCTGCAAACCTTGAAGGCGGAATCTCTAACCACCAAAGCCACCAAACATCCCTAAATCATCCTATCCAGCGGAAATCTTCAACCTTAAGCTCTGAACCATAAAGCCTTCGACCGCGAAGTCACCGAGATTTGCCAGCCCACAGGTTTGCACTCGTCACCAGGCTCTTGGCAATCCCGTAGCAGTTCCTTCTGGGGATTTCCTTTTCGGATCCTAAGTATGAAAGGAAGCACTATGGGGCCCATGGGTATGAATGTGTACCCCTTCACCGACCAGGCAGTCGTTGATAAACATCCATGTCCTCAACTGCTACGATGACTCTTTCATGTCAATCCCCAGGCCCTAGACATCCCTAAACTAAACCGAAGACCCTAAACCGAAGAACCTGAGCTAAATCGGAGGCCCTTGACGCTAAACCCTCCCTCACAACCCTTTGCATCTCACACGAAGATCACAATATCGCCGGCAATGGTTGATCTAAGATGGAGGCGAGGATGATGACAACATAGAGTGAACAAGAATTTTCTAGAGAGATTTACGAAGGAAGTGTTTGTAAGTTTATGACGGGGGCCGTAATGACTAGACCAGAGTGTTGGGGTGTACCATGGTATCAGTAGAAGGGGGCTATATGGAATGGGAATGCGAGCTTCAACTGTTGCACCCCCTCCTTTCATGCCAACAAGTTGACAATGCCCGAAACTGGAACGAAACAGTGACATCCTGGCCTGCAGCGCCAGGTAGGACAGAGCCGACCTAGACTGCAATAGTAATGGTAAAAATCGCAATAGTAATAGTAATAGTCATCGTGACGGTAATAGTAATAGTAATAGTAATAGTACTAGTAATCGTAGTAATAGCAAAAGTGATAGTAGTTATAAGGAGCTTTCTATACCGGTTTGCCCATCCTTTTGACCTTTGACTTTGAGTAACCTCGCAGTGAGGGGCAGGCTCTTCCTTGTCCAGTCCTAGCTGGAGCACCCCAAAAAAAAGGCAGGGGCCCAAAATCTGTCTGCTCGAGTTTGGAAAGTCCCGTGGAGCTTTCAATATAGGGCTGAGGGTGTAGGATCTCGGGTTATGACCTAGGGTTCCCGATTTCGGGACGAGTCTCGTATCCTAAACCCTGGATGTTTTACACGACTACTCACTCCCGTGCAAATTTGATACCTTTCCTGGAGATCATTGTATTTGTAATCATACTTCAACGACCAAAGTTGACACGAAAGTACCCACGAGGCGTGCAGTTTCTAGAGTTCGGCCCTGGAGCTTCTCCCACAATCGGCTAAACCACAGGCAAGACGCGGCGTACTCCGCCACAACAGTGCCACCCCGCGACGCCCAGAATTGCATAACGGCCTTCTGTGCAGCGGACAGGAGACTTGTGTATGGAAGCATCGACAACGAATCAACGAAACTCCTGATGTGGCTAATAAGTGGTGAACCGAAGTCCGCGGTCAATTGAAGGTGAGGGTTGCAAGGTTGTTAAGCAGGTCCAGAGGGTCAGAGTGTAATCAGGTTGGACACATAAAATGCCTATTGCAGCCAAAGTTCAGCTACGGGTCTATGAAGCGAAACAGTCAACCTTGCTTCTCTTGCAAGGATACCATGTACTGAATGCACTGGTGATATTGAGCCATGAATCCTAAAAGTCTCAACACTTTGATCCTGTGCCCAAAACCCCTTAACCTAGACCCCCAAACCCCTCAGCCCCACCGCCGAAGCCCCCAAGCCCTAAACACAAAAAGCCCAAAGCTGAGTCCTCGACAAGTCCGAAACCCTAAGCCCTACATCTTTAACCTGGAAGACCAATTAAGCCTAACATAAGCCCTGGACTTTTGAGTAACAAGGGAGAAAAAAGTATAACCTTTTATTTCATAATGGTTCCCTTAAGAAAAAAAGTATTAAGGTATGGTACTCCAAAGCCCAGAAACCTACTAAACCACTGAGACCCCAGACCCGCAACCTTCAACCCTAAACCCCAAACCCTCTACGACAGACCCCAAGCTCTAAACCTCCAGACTTCCGCACCACACCAAGCCCGGAACCTAAACCCTAAACCCCCTAACATAGAGGCCTTAATGATTAGAATAGGGTTTTGGGATACAGTATACTATGATTATGAAAGATTAATCTTATAGTATAATAAGAAACGCCCAAATAAGTAGAATAGACATTATATATAAGGCTCCTATATTGACTCCTCCCTGAACCCCAAACCCACGACCTTCAACTCTGCCCGCTATCTTCGCCTCGGCCACCTCCTCCACATCCACGGCTTCACATGGCGACAGAGCGCCGGAGAAGGGCTCCTTGGAAGCTTCAAAAGGGGGGTTTAGGGTTTAGGGTTTAAGGGTTTAAGGGTTTAAGGGTTTAAGGGTTTAAGGGTTTAAGGGTTTAGGGTTTAGGGTTAAGGGTTTAGGGGTTTAGGGGTTTAGGGCTTAGAGGTTAGGGGTTTCGGGTTTAGGGGTTTAGGGTGTGGCGTTTACTGCTTAGGATTTTAGGGGTTTAGGGTCTACAGTAATCCCCATAAAGTTGGAAACCGGATTCAAACCAAATAGTGTTGCGGGTTGCCTATACATTACTCTTAAGGATTGAGGCTTATTGGGTTTCCAACTTCTTGGCTTCTACTGTGTAGGGTTTACGGGGTTAAGTCTTTCTGGCCTAGGGCCTGGCCATGCAGCGCACAAACCACTCAACAAAAACAGAGACTCGTCAACACGAAACTCTGAACAGCAGCAGCCCCAAACTTAAGCCTAAACCCCATAGATCCCTTTTAAGGAACCCTATAGATCCCTTTAAGGAGCCCTTTAAGAGCCTTTATTAAGTCCCCTAAAGCCCCTCCAAGTATAGGCGACATCCGAATCAAAATCTCGGCCCTGGACACTTCATTCTAAATCATGACGTATCCTTTCAAGCAAAACACACCTGAACTCAGAAAATTAGGCCTGAACCTGAAGCAACATACTCTCAAGCTTAACCCCGATCAAGATACCATTCTTACACCCTGAACCCTCACATTCAACCGAGAGCCCAATCACAATACTTACCAACGCTGTTTTGGGGGTTCCTTATTGTCACTGTAGTATACCCTAGAGCCCCCAACTACTCTGATATACCCCGGATAGCCACTATTAAGTGTCATAAGGGCTCCATTAAAGTGCCATTGGGGGGTCCTGGTATTTTATGCCAAAACCCTATTCTGATGATTGAACCTCACGCCTCGGCCCGGCCTAGAACAACACAGAAAACCCATCAGGACCCCACCCCGAGCACCCAACAACTATAAACCCTAAACGCCTACAAGCCCCTAAACCTAAACCCCTGAACCCTAAACCCCAAAACCCTAAACCCGAACCCCCACCCCTCCCCCTCACCTATGCAGCAAAACAACACGAACTTACTGGGAGCCCATGCCTCACTCTGAGTGGCCTTGCAGAAGAGCCTGCTCTTCATACGATCTTAACGGATCCGCTTGTTAAGGGATGTAAGGTGAAGGGTGCAGGAGCCCGGGGCTAAAGTTGCTAAGAGTGAAGATACGGGGTTCTCTGGTGTGGTGCCCCATTCTCCAAAGATCCAGGCGCTGCCTAAAGGGATCACACTGAGCTTCAACATGTTGAAGAAGCCAACGGAGGGTTTTAGGTTGTGGTTTAGTGGCTGGGGCCCCGGGGCTTAGGCTTTGGGATGTTGACCCGCGCATTTTTTCAGAGCAAACAAAATGACCCGGCACACTGTCCCACGTCCTTGGTACCCATGCGAAAAAACATATGTATATACATACATACATACTTACATACATGCATACATGATACTAGTGAGCCTACATAAACGAGGCTGTGTTGCTACACACAGTGTGTGTATATACATATAATATCTGTTTCATGCATTTAATTAGTTTGTCTACTTATTTATTCATTAGCCACAGAAATGAAAGGATAAACGTTCCGATTCCTACTAAAGAAGAAGACCCCATAATGTTTAAAGGTTGGGCATTGGGGGGTCTAAGTTATCAAAGACATAGACCTCTCCATCTTGAACTCTCAATTCGAGAGACAGAAAATTTAGGTACATCCTAGAGCCTACATGAAGCCTTGCCTACTTACAGCCTTATAGACCCTGGGGGTGAAGAGTTTTAGTTTGTGGATTAAGGACCCAAAGCCCAACACCCTAAACCCAATGCCCCAAGCCCTAAACCCGATACCCTAACCCTAAACACTGTACCCTAAACCCTCAACCCTGACCCTTAACACTGCATCCTATAGCCCTGAACACTGTACCCCAAAACCCTAAACCCAAAAGCACCTGAGGCGGCCAAGCACATCCAGCAGCTCCCAGCCACGACTTTGAGCCAAGGACTCCGGCCTGAGCCGGGGTTATTAAGGTTAAAAGGACCCACTATGTAAACAAACCCTAAACCCTAAATCCCCAAAACCTATAGATCCCTTAAAGGAACCCTATAGTACCCTTTCAAGGATCTTGGGTACAAGGTTGAAGGTTTAGGGTTTTAGGGCTTTTCGCGTTGAGGGTTTCAGGGTCTGGGATTTCGGTGTTTTGGGGTTGTTAGGGTTTTTTGGTTTAAGGCTTGGGGTTTATGGGGCTTGTGGCTTTGTCTTTTTTGGGTGTTGGTTGACTTAGGTGTAGCGCCAGTGTAGGGGTTAGGGCGACCTGAGCTCAG